CACTAAACTGTGGAGTGGAGCACTGGCCCACCCTTCTCTCCAAATGCTCCACCCCAGGGGCCCATAACTAAACAATGATTTGTGTTGTGCAACACACAAACTACACGTACTTCCCCTGGGGTTAAAAGGCCTATCTGCCTTCACTTTCCTGTCAGAAGTTCCTGTCCCGCATTCCGCGCCGCCCGGCCACGCTACATTGAGAGACTGGCGGGAGGGAGCACTCTGCGCTTCCTTCCTGCCGGTCACTCAAATCCGGCCGCAGGGATCCGGCACCCCCTGCTAAGGCGGCTGCCTAGGTTGCCTTACAGGTAGCGCCGGCCCTGGACTTGAGAAAGGGAGATTCTCCCGAAAGCTTGTCATTAAAAAATTCTGTTAGTCCAATAAAAAAGGTATTACAAGATACAAATTTTATCTTTTTTTTACATCTCTCTCTCATTTATAGAAAACAAATAAAAACACTAATTTTGGCCAGCATTTGTGACTAAGTGACTACTACAATACAATGGAAATACCGCTTTTTGAATAACCTGGGCAACACAGACCCAGCAAACTGAATTGACCAAGCCTTATATTGACCCTGTAACTTTCCATAACACCATATACTTGGGAGACTTTGCTGAACACAAATATGAGTGTTTAACCCCTTAAGGATGGCGGGTGTTCTATGACGTCCTTAGGGAACCAGCTATAAACGCCAGAGGGTGGCATAGAATGCCCTATCCGTCCTTTCTACTTACCTGGGAGCCCAGGGAGTCACCCTCCATTCCTCTTGCCCCCCCCGGGCCATGTGATCATGGAGGTCCTTGTTAAATCAGTGTAAAATTAAATAATATATACTTAGATCATATATATTTATTATATATATGATCTACGTATATATATATATATATATATACACATATACATAAATATACATACACTGTCTAAGTGAATTTTAATATTAATATATATAATTATAAATATATATAAATATCAAAATACATGTACAATGATATTGATTAAATATATATATAATTTCCATTATATATATTAGTATATATAATAATAAATAAATATGTAAATACGTTAAAAAATAAATAAATAAATATATATATATATATGTAAATTCATTCTAATTGTATTTTCATATAATTTACTAAATTATTACAGGGAGTGCAGAATTATTAGGCAAATGAGTATTTTGACCACATCATCCTCTTTATGCATGTTGTCTTACTCCAAGCTGTATAGGCTCGAAAGCCTACTACCAATTAAGCATATTAGGTGATGTGCATCTCTGTAATGAGAAGGGGTGTGGTCTAATGACATCAACACCCTATATCAGGTGTGCATAATTATTAGGCAACTTCCTTTCCTTTGGCAAAATGGGTCAAAAGAAGGACTTGACAGGCTCAGAAAAGTCAAAAATAGTGAGATATCTTGCAGAGGGATGCAGCACTCTTAAAATTGCAAAGCTTCTGAAGCGTGATCATCGAACAATCAAGCGTTTCATTCAAAATAGTCAACAGGGTCGCAAGAAGCGTGTGGAAAAACCAAGGCGCAAAATAACTGCCCATGAACTGAGAAAAGTCAAGCGTGCAGCTGCCACGATGCCACTTGCCACCAGTTTGGCCATATTTCAGAGCTGCAACATCACTGGAGTGCCCAAAAGCACAAGGTGTGCAATACTCAGAGACATGGCCAAGGTAAGAAAGGCTGAAAGACGACCACCACTGAACAAGACACACAAGCTGAAACGTCAAGACTGGGCCAAGAAATATCTCAAGACTGATTTTTCTAAGGTTTTATGGACTGATGAAATGAGAGTGAGTCTTGATGGGCCAGATGGATGGGCCCGTGGCTGGATTGGTAAAGGGCAGAGAGCTCCAGTCCGACTCAGACGCCAGCAAGGTGGAGGTGGAGTACTGGTTTGGGCTGGTATCATCAAAGATGAGCTTGTGGGGCATATATTGGTATATAGTGTTTGAGACTAAGTGACTACTAAAAAAGACTGGACATACCCCATTTGCAATACCTTGGGTTGTCTACGTTTGCAAATGGTGTGCCATAATTGGGGTAATTCTTATTCCTGGGCTAACATACGGTCTCAAAGGCAACGTAACCAATCTGGCGAATTTCAATGTGAAAAAAATGAAAAATGTGACATGCTATATTTGACCCTGTAACTTCCCAAAACACCATAAAACCTGTACATAGGGGGTATTGTTTTAAATGAGAAACATAGCTGAATACAAATATGTGTATTTTATTGCAGTAAAAGCAAACAGTATTGTAACGGACCGTTTTGCACACAAGGGGTAAAAAACATTTAGGCGATCGTCCCCCTTTCCAGAGATGCAGGCACAGCTATTGTAAAACACCCAACTCACGAACCGCCAATAAGGGAATGCTCCAAACTCCCGAACGGCATACAATATAGCACTCCAAACACACAAACTGGAACCATACGAATCGCTGCTAGCAGACAAATAGGAAAAGCATCCAAGCGGCTTACACTCCTAGCAATCAGTCTCTATCAGCAGTCAGTAAATCCCCCCCAAAGACGAGACAAGTTGAGGGTCAAGCAGTGGTCAGACAGACCTGTGGGTTTATTGTTCTTATATACACATTAGTACCACCCACAGGGTTTTGCACAACAGCCAATCATAAACGTACATTACAGAAACACTCCCAGCAATTACACACAAAAATCCTCCCCTCTGCCTTTGATATAATTATGTTGCACAATGGTTTAACATAATTAACACAGGCAGTAAAAATACAGTTTTTATCCATACATTGTAACTTTAAAACTACACATCCAATCTTCATAAAGTACATATTATTAATCAGCACACTTTAAACATAAACCAAAAATCAGACAAATCCATCCAGGGGTTAAAAAGTTAGCTGGAGGTCCCTTTATGACCGACCGACCACAAGCACATTTTCCTGCCCAAAACATTTCCATAGATTTGGGCTGTGTGGCCGGTCTATTTCAGGTTGAAAAAACGACTAAGTCCCATAGCCGATTGGGACTTAGTCTCTGCAGCTGAAATCAGGCTGAAAAACGACTAAGTCCCATCGCCGAATGGGACTTAGTCTCTGCAGCTGTAAAATCAGTATGGGAGAAGGTAGGGCTCAGCGGTGTTCGCGGAAATGTGTAGCTGATTTTAGTTCCATGAATTTGGCTACACATACCACTGACCTCGTTCGCATTAAAGGACCACTAGGAAACATACTTGAGGAAACATACTCGTTTTCCTGGCACTATAGTGCCCTGAGGGTGCCCCCACCCTCAGGGACCCCCTCCCGCCGGGCTCTGGAGAGAGGAGGGGGTTAAACACTTACCTTTCTCCAGCGCCGGGCGGGGAGCTGTACTCCTCCTCTCCTCCTTCCTCGCGACGTCATCGGCTGAATGCGCATGCACGGCAGGAGCCGCGCGCGCATTCAGCCGGTCGCATAGGGAAGCTTGCGTGCTCTCACTGTGATTTTCACAGTGAGAAGCACGCAAGCGCCTCTAGTGGCTGGATTAACCCTCAGTGTAAACATAGCAGTTTCTCGGAAACTGCTATGTTTATAAAAAAAAGGGTTAATCCTAGAGGGACCTGGCACCCAGACCACTTCATTAAGCTGAAGTGGTCTGGGTGCCTAGAGTGGTCCTTTAACAAAGATGGCGTGTTCGGCAAACGAACAAAGGCCACCCAGCATTGTCAATTAAGCTGCGGTTAACCGCAGCTTCTGGGAGGTAAATTGCATGCACACTTCAACTTCTGGGTGGTCTGCCTGTGTGGTACTTGGTTCAGTAAGCCCCATTTACTGAACCAAGTAGGAAATAGCCAGGCACAAAGAGTTTTAACCAGGTCTGGGGACACATGGGGACATCGTCTTAAAGGGGCAGTGTCCCAAACAAGTCTGGGGACACCGTCTTAAAGGGGCAGTGTCCCAATCTTCCTGATGTCCCAAAAAGGTGTTTAAAGGGCCAGCACCAGTCCCATAAAGAGTCCATAAGCCACAATATGCCCACTGACTGTCTTAAAGGGCCGTACACACCCAATAAAAGTGCATACATTTTCACCATCTCCCAGGGGCCATAGTCATGTGGAAGGAGGCAGGCAAATAGGCTTCTCCAATGCAATATGGTGAGATTGGTCTCGTCACAAGTATTATGACACTCACAGTTAAAATGTCACGTAGAACAAAAAATTTTAAAATTTTTTAAAAATGTTTTTAGATTTTATTCCTATTAAATTATGTTTCATACCTAAATATTTGATATTAAATGAAAGCCCTGTTTCCCCTGAATAAAATGATATATAATAAGTGTGGGTGCACATAAAATGAAAGAGGCGAATTACGCCTGAACAGACATATAGCGCAAATTCAAGTTTTTGTTTATGTTTTGTTTTGATCACAATGTGTACATTTGGCTCAGTCCTTAAGGGGTTAAAATAGTAAAACTTATCACAACGATGAAATCACCAGTTAAGGTGCAGTTTTTGTGTAAAAAAATGCAAAAAACAAAATAAAAAGGCTGATTTTGGCCAGCGTTTGTGACTAAGTGGCTACTACAAAAGACTAGAAATACCCCATTTGGAATGCCCTGGGGTATCTACATTTGAAAATGGTATGCCATGCTGGGGTTATTTCACATTCCTGGGTTACCATATGGTCTCAAAAGGCAACACAGACCCAGCAAACCAATCTGGCTAACTAAATTGGGCATTGACCCTGTAACTTTCCAAAACACCATAAAACTTGTAAATGGTGGGTATTGTTATACTCGTGAGACTTCGCTCAATACAAATATGAGTGTTTAAAACAGTAAAACATATCATGACAATGAAATCACCAGTAAAAGTGCAGTTTTTGTGTAAAAAAAAATGCAAAAAAACAAATATGAACTCTAATTTTGGCAAGTGTTTGTGGCTAAGTGGCTACTAGTGATGTCCCGAACAGTTCGCGAACGGTTCGCCATGGACTCATCATTGAGTAAACTTTGACCCTGTACCTCACAGTCAGCAGACACATTATAGCCAATCAGCAGCAGACCCTCCCTCCCAGGCCCTCCCACCTCCTGGACAGCATCCATTTTGAAGCTGCATTCTTAGTGAGCTGTCCAGGAGGTGGGAGGGTCTGGGAGGGAGGGTCTGCTGCTGATTGGCTGGAATGTGTCTGCTAACTGTGAGGTACAGGGTCAAAGTTTACTCAACACAAAAAAATTGACTACCCAAAAGGTTGTCAAAGACTAGTGGTAGAATTAGTGGATTGAAAGTGTTAAAATACCACCATTTGAAATACCCTAGGGTGTCTACTTTTCAAAAATATATGATTTGAGGGGGAAAATTACTTTTTTTTTTTTTTAAGTTTGGCATAGATTGGTGGTAAAATGGTTGCATGAAAAGAGTCAAAATACCCCAAGTTTAATACCTTAGGTGGTCTTTTAAAAAAGATATACATGTGAAGGGTTATGCAGGGGTTCCTGACAGATATCAGTGTTACAATGTAACTTCCGTTATTTTGAAAAAAAAAAATGGTTTGGAGATAGCAAAGTGCTACTTATAGCCCTATAACTTTCAAAAAAAACTAAAAACATGTAAACATTGGGCATTTCTAAACTCAGGACAAAATTTAGAAACTATTTAGCATGAGTGTGTTTTGGTGGTTGTAGATGCATAATAGATTTTGGGGGTCAAAGTTAGAAAAAGTGTGTTTTTAAAAAAATATCATATTTTATATTTTTTTTTATAGTTAATTATATGATATGATAAAATAATAGTATCTTTAGAAAGACCATTTAATGGCGAGAAAACGGACCCTTACTGAATGTTTTGATTTCTTATCTGGACCCAAGTCCTCACTTTCACTATTTCATAAGGAGAACCAGAAGTTCCTAAGTAGAACCTGATACATACCTCTCAACAACGGCATTCTAACAATCTCCCGATGGGAGGGAGGTAAAGGGTGCGGACCAGTGACATAATCATGTCACTAGCCTCACCCCAAAGGGGTGGATCCTTCAGAAAGGGGGCAGATCCGCCCGAGTTAATGGCAGGTTACCCTCATGTGAGTACACACCTGTCCATTGCTTAGGCTGGCCCACTGAGAGCAGGACATGCAGGGTCTAATGTTTTACAGCACAAGTGCATCTAACTAATAATGCTATTGTGTTATGAATGTTGGGGACAGTTCTCTTGTGTCCCCAAAACTGGGACAGATGGGAACTAAGGCAGGATAGGACCTGAAAATCAGGACTGTCCCACCAAAATCTGGAAGGTTGTGAGGCATGCTAAAGGCTTGCCTCCTTGATTCCAGACACAAAATCACAGAAAAGAATACTAAAAACAAATGCTTGCTTATATAGAAAATATGTATACCAGGATACTTAAATTATTCACAAGTTTCAAAACTAAAAATGTTGCATCGCCAGGTGGTCAAAAGGTAGATTCCCAGACATGGTAGAACTGCAACATTCATTATGCTTTGCCATTCTAAAAGCTGGCAAAGCACCATGCCAGTTGTAATTCTACGTCTACCTTTTGCCCAGCCCTGCTCTACACCCTAAGAATTTTGTTTCGTTTTGTATTTTTACAGATAGGAGAGCAGTGCATTCCTAACCACACCTTTGTCAGTGACATCAGGGACCTTTGTACTTAGCCGTCCATTCCTTTCTCTAACTTGACAAGCAACTGGCAGTTGACTGGATGCAAAACAGGCTGGAGGAGAACGCGTTGGTGTTTGTTGGCCAGTGGAGGAAGCAAACAGAACTTTAATTTCACAGACACCACAATCAATTTCAAATCACTAATCAGGTACTTTATTCATGATAAGATAATTTTTAGCTTTTCTGTTCATTTAAAAAAAATAAAAAGCACAGTTGTCCAGGCACAAATCTAAATGCATTTTTTGTAACATATGATAGAAGGTTTTATGGATAAACAACAGGCTGCATTCTGAGCCTGTAGAATTTTATGTGATATCATGTAAAAGTAGGTAAAAACTAAAATAGACTCTAAATATTTATTTCACTGTTTAGTAGATATACCCACAAAGAAAATATGCATACATATTTTCATATTTTCTATGATGTCATATGAAAAAAAACAAACACAAAAACACAGATTGCAAAAGATGCAGACCTGTTTAATGCAGCTTTTGCAAGCCACCCATTGTTTCCCCAATACTTTCAGTTTAGGCTGGGGAACTAACCAGTCAGATACTTCTTATACTACTTATTGTGAAGTGTCTGTGCTGGAGCCACATGTTCATGCATGATAATGCATTTGCAGCTTTTCAATGCTTCTCAATGAGCTGTAGCACAGCTTAGTGAGAATGGGGGAAGGTAAGCATGATCAATCTTCTTTTATTAGCTATGTGAAGTGAAAAAAAAACACTCCAAATGCCAAAATGTGACAGCCAGGGTGGTGTTTCATTACACTTTATAAAACTGCTAAATTCTATTAAAAATGCATTTTCATAAACTCTGAAAAAAATTACAGACTTAAGGTGCTTTATGTGTGTCAACGTTGCTTTAAATATAATGTAATGTAGTTATTATAAAGAATAAGCATTAAATTAGGGTGCCACAGAAACCAAAGTGCCAAAAAAGTCACAAAAGTATGGAATTTTGGAAAAGGCTCAGTCATTAAGGGATAACATTGTACCAGTCATTGTAAGTACAACTTTGTCTTGCCAGGGAGAGCATAAACCATCAAATTAAAATATTATAAAAAAAAAATAAAAATGAAAATAATAATAATAATAATAATTGTGATTATTATTGTTATTATTACTATTATTGATTATGGGGATGTAGTGTATGAACCCGCACCGCAAACCCACCTTAATAAACTTAATACGTTATATAATTCGTTCTGCCGCTTTAGAATGTAATTACTTTACCCACCACTGTGACATGTCAAAAGAGCTAAAATGGCTGTCGCTGGAATCCCGATGCACTCTTCGTCTTTCCAGGCTTGTGCATAAGAGAAGCTCCCACCTTACCTGAGTATAATTCTCTCCCCGGCTGTGCCCACGTCCTTTGGCCTCCAATCCAGTACTAGCACGATATTTAGCATACCACAATACAAAAATAAAGTGGCTTTAAAAATTAAAAGTAAAAATTCATTCAATCTAAAATCTTTTAAGAGATCTATGGCAATATACCTCAGCACAGAATGCACCTCTCATGGTTGAATATATTTATTACCTGTTATGTATTAAATGTATATATAGTCTGTATATTGTATTTTTGTAATATTGTATCCTATTGTAACAATGCAATGTTTTGTTGACAAAGACCTAGGACATATATGAAAACGAGAGAAATCTCAATGTATCCATCCTGGTAAAATATTTTATAAATAAATAAAGATAAAAGTTGAGAAAAATAGCAAGCACAGCAGTACAGTATAACATGTCCAGTAATGAAAAATGCGGTAGTCAAATGTTGTACTCATGAAAGTAAAGTAAAAGTAAGATAAGCCTTGAAAGATATTAAGGGACATTATAGGTACCCAGACCATTTCAGCTCATTGAAGTGGTGTAGGTGCAGTGTCCCATTTGTACTCCGTGCTGCAATGTAAAATATTGCAGTTCCAGAGAAACTGCAATGTTTAAATTGAACACTGGTAGACAGCCACTGGAGGTGCTTCCTGGACCTTTGTTCCGGTAACTGACGCTGGATGTCCTCACGCTCCTCATGAGGACATCCAGCATCAGATTTTTCTCGTCGTGGGATGTTGGAGAGTTGGAGCTTCGACCCAGCACTGAGAAACATTGGCACTGAGATAAGGTAAGTAAATAAAGGGTTTTTAACCCTTTATTTCATGTGGAGGGAGGGGTGCAAAGGAGGGGGTAGGCAGGGGGAGCAATAGTGCCAGGAATACGGCTTTGTATTCCTGGCACTATAGTATCCCTTTTTCATTTGAGTCCTTCTTAAGAAATGCCACTGGTGGTAAATGCTAAAATAGAAAGGGACGGGAAAATGTTCTAGATTCATAAAAATCAAAACTATTTATTGCACATAAAATATATAAATATAGATTTTTACTTTTTTTACTGCTACTCCTGGATTTCCCCTCTATGGGTACATTTTCTTATTTGATCTGTGAACCAAATAGCAGGAACATGTACACTGATTGGCCCATTTTCAGTACACTGATTGGCCCATTGTAAAGCCTTTTAGTTGGTGTGTTTCTTTTTCTTCGTTACTGAATTTCTGCTGAGCCAAACTGCCATTTGGCTAAAATTTGGTCACTCTTAAACATTTTTTAATTTGCATGCAAAGTGGTTCAGCTGAAACAAATGTTTTCATCGTGCACAAGTCTACAAGTCTAATGGTTATAATTTACAGATCAATGGCAAAAGTTCCTGAGACTTCTGCATTTCCATAGGCAAGCTGCAACAATATACAGCTCCTCACAGGCCAAAAAAAGGTACCACCAGCCAGGAACCTCTCATTCTAGTCTGATCTAAATCCATAATCTCCTGTCCAGCAAGAGATCCAAGGCCTGCTTGTAGTCTCCTATCCAAAGTGGGTTTAACCACAAGGTGATTTATAAAGGGCCCTGGAATCATGAATCTGCTTGCCCATATTAACCATCTCATTGTAAAGAATCAAGGGTGGTGGGACAAACTAATAACCTTCAACTGGCCCTATGATAGCTTAATCCTTTTTTGCACCTATCCAGCCACCAAAAAAAAAAAAAAGATACTTAGTTTCCCCAACTCATAGCAACTTTCATACCTGCTTGCAATCACCTATCCAGCTAACAGAAACAAAAATAAAAGATAATTTCAACTAATTAATACTCACCCGTTCCTTCTTAACCTACAGCATGTTTCAGGTGTTTGAGATCTCTTCTCAGTCCCTTTACATGTCACCAGGGGCTACAATGAACCTTTAACCCCTTAGTGACCAGAACATTTTTCAATTTTCTTACTGTTAAGGACCAGGGCTCTTTTTACATTTCTGCAGTGTTTGTGTTTAGCTGTAATTTTACTCTTACTCATTTACTGTACACATATTATATCTTTCTAAATATACCATTATTTTCATTATATCATATAATTTACTATAATTTTTTTAATAAAATATGATGAAAAAATTGGAAAAAAAACCACACTTTTTTGAACTTTGACCCCCAAAATCTGTTATACATCTACAACTGCCAAA